CAATATCATCATCGTCATCTTCATCATCGTCAGATTATTTCCTGTGGCAACATTATTGGCTACAGCGGCGTGACCACCACCATCAACATCTGCAGTACAAACAACATCTACACCGATATAAACAACAATATCGACAACATCAACAACAACAACAACCTAATGATCAACGACAGCACATCAAGCAACAGCAAAACAAACCAGCAAAACAACATCGTCCAAACGTCAACAACCTCCAATCCAAATTACGTCTCCATCATGGCCACCAACAAACTAAACAACAGTATCAAAACCACCAACAAAGTAAACAACGGCAGCTACAACAAGAAGAACACAAACACGAGCACAAACATAAACACGAACAGGAACGTGAACACACGTTCACGATGTTTTCATCAGACTTCGTCATTGAAGTGGCTGGCAAGTTGTTTAGCGAACGTAAGATCAACACGACTTTTAAAGTCTATGCAAAGCAAAAATGCATCAACGTTAGCCATTTATTTAATCAACATCTACAACAACGTCAACAACAACAACATCAACATCTACAACAACGTCAACAACAACAACAACAGCAACAACAACATCAACATCTACAACAACAACAACATCAACATCAACAATATCAGCAACATCAACAACACGAACAAAAACAAGATCCACAAAAACATCAACAAAATTTTTGCGATGGTATTTTTCCTGGTTTGATCAAGCAAGTAACAAAATTTAATCAAAACAAAGACGGCGATCACAACAAAAACAACAACCACCACCACAGCAGCAGCAACAACAACAACAACAACAGCCACAAAAACAACAACAACAACAGCCACAACAACATCAACAACAACATCATCAACAACAACAACAGTGAAGAAACCAATGTTACGTCAGATCAAATCATCAACAGCCACAACAACAACAACAACAATAATAATAATTATAACAACAACAACAACCACGACAACGACAACAGCAACATCAACGATATTTATAGCAACACTTTCAGTAGAACAAACAACGTACATTCTACTCATTCTCAATCTGGCCGTAGTAACAACATCACCGGCAATAACAACAATGAAAACAATCACAACAACACCTCTAGTTTTATTTTACACGACTACAACAACGAACTTATTAACACATTGAACAACAACAACAACAACAACAACAACAGTAGTGACACCAACGGACCGGATTATTGGTTAACATTCGATTGCTCATTATTCAAGGAAGCAGGCAGTTATGATGTGTTCGTTGAGAAGTCTGATGGGGATGTGGTCATCACTGAACGTCTGGTCACTTTCACTGTAAGTTTTCAGGATGATGGGGCCAGTGTGATGGTCAGTCGTTTGTTTGATCTTTATATTTATATTAATAATAATGACATATTTTTTGTTGTTTGTTTGTTTGTTCATTCTTCTCGCGTCATTCTTTTCAGTTGCCTACTTGCTTGTTTGTCGGTTCACTTATTTGTTTGTTTGTCGGTTCACTTATTTGTTTGTTTGTTTGCTCATTATTTGTTTGTTCATTTGTTTCTTTAATACATCCATTTAAAAGGCATTTTACAATTTTTCTGAAATAATTCACAACGAATAATCATTCAAGAGAATTATTTTAGCAGCTTAAATTCATTACACCGTGTGTTATTACAGACGATTGAAGTGATGTTGTCATATTCACAAACATGAATTGAGTGTTTTTAAAAATTAACGTCTTTTGATTTAAAAACCCGGATTGGACAGTTGATGTGGCCAGTGGTCAGTATAAGTGTTGAGAGCCTGGAGTACACATTCCTTGAAGATGATGTTGCCCTGCATGTTGTTGAACCATCTTTCCAGCTGATCACATGCACTTCTCAGCATTTCAACGAAACTGTCATGCTGCTTGTTCTATTCCATGGTTCATTCCTTCATAACGAGGGTGATGTTTGTTAATGTTTTAAGCTACATTAAACTGTGCTAAGAGTGCATTTTTAACACTTTACATTTATTATTCATCATATTTCTTACTGTATTCTTCTGTTATAAGACTTTGTCATAAATGATGCGTAAAATGGCGATTCTCACAACAGCGTTGAAACTGACAACAAGCAATCTAACCCACAGACGACCAAAACATTCCACACACTCTTGTTTACAATGAAACTGTGACACGTCACATGAACTCTCACGTGACCAAACACGTGATGGGGTGCGGCGTGTTTGATAGGCCAGGATATTACAGTGTGGCAATGTACCAGAGCATGGACGCGCACAAGTTAGTTCTTATTATCAGGATGTTTGTTTCTGACCTATCTCGTCTTTGCCATTATTTTATTTATCAATTAAAATTAAATTGAAATAAATTAAATACTATCATCATTAATAGAAACACTGACAAAAACAAGAAAGGTACCAACAAACCAACTAAAAACAGACAGCAGACAGACAGGCAGACAGACAGACAGAGAAACAGAAAGACAGAGAGACAGACAGAGAGACAGACAAACAAACAGACAGACAGACAGGTAGACATGCAGGCAGACATGCAGGCAGACAAGTAAACCAACAGACATATAGACAGACAGACAAACAATCAAACAAACAGTTACCCAGGTGAACAGCTGGCATCAACCGAAATATTTTCCATCCTCCCATCAGCTTCAACTGTCAAACTTCTCGCGCCATCATACATTCAAAATGTTTGTTCACATCACGTGGTCGTTCACGTCATCAAAAAACCTGGTTGCTGCTGCCTGAGGGGACGGGTGAGGTTGTACAAGGTGACAAGAAGGGTCCTATTTGGGAGGGGTGTTGGTCGTGAACCTGAGATGGCGGGTGCTCTGGTCAAAGGCAACAAACAAAACACAAGGAAACTCATTCCACTTGAGGACGTCAGGAAAGTTGCAGCTGCTGGATGGCAAATGACAAAAGAGGTGAAAAAATGCGTGCGGATATGCAATCGTATTTTTTTTTTATTTTTTCAGAAAAAATTATTTTACATTAAATGCTTCATTTGCTAAATTTGTCATTAAAAATAGTTGAATGATTAAATTAATTAATTAACCAACTAATTAATAAAACAGATTTACGTAGCAGAAGTTGTTGTAAGCAGAGCTGCTGTGCAGGTTCAATTCGAATGTGATTTGTTTCAGGGTGAGGAGGATGGTGATGGTGCCGTTGAAGAGGCTGGGAATAATTTCAACGATGGATCACACCAACACTTCGACAGCCAGCCTGCCCATTTGCTAGACGATCACAAGAGTATAGAATATGAAAATTTGAATAATGTTGATACAGAAAATCTCAATACAAATAAGAACAACAGCAACGATGACGATGACAACGATGATGAGAAGATGAGTAGAAATGATGAAGTGGTTGGTTATTGTTGGCGGTACGTATCCATAGCCAGGGATGGTTCAGTTCACCATCACGCCATCACCTGCTCTCACGTGCCACAAAGAGATGGTGAAGAAGAGGAGGATGAATATGAAAATGTTGATGGTGATTATGATTATGATGCCAAAGGTACAAAGTACAACAACGATATTTCATGCGATGTATATTACAAAAATTGTTGCAGATTTAATATTTTATTAATAACTTTTTAAAAATATTCATCCAGAAAGCACATTTTTCAATCTTTTGTGGCAGTCAACAGCAACAGCAACGACAACGACAGAGCAACAGTTTTTAAACAACATCAACTGCAATGTAACACACAACATCAACAACACAGCAACAAACATTACATTCGTGGCAAACATCTACAAAAATAAGACCACCATCTCCTGTCTACAACTATCCAATCCTAAAACGATGAAAATAAAAATTTTCAACATTTTTCCATCAGTCCAGCCTGCAAAGTGCCTTGAGGTTACTGTCACAAATATCTCCAATAAGTCGGTATCAAACGTTATCTTCAAAAGATTTTTGTACTTGTCTGGAAGTTTTTTCGAAGTGAAAACTTCAGTGAAAGCGAGAAGGATTGCCGTCAGTTTCCTGGCTCACCCACACATCCATGAATACTCTCATCCATGTCTTGATGTTTATCACGCTCAAGGTGAAATGAATGATGGACTGAATAGTAGTCGTGATGTCACTGATGGTGATGATGACGTCATCGATGATGTCATTAATGGAGATGGGGATCAAGATGTGACAAGTGAAGAAGAGAACTTCGTCAGCAGTCATCAGATTTTTTATCACCTTATTTTTCATGGTAAGATTTTTGGGTTCCAAAAAATAATTGTTAACTACAAAACAGTTAATTAATGCATTTTCTTTCTTATAACAATTTTTAAAATGTTTTCAACGCAGATTTTGAGCCTAATTTCGATGTTTCACTGGGAACAGACAACGACAACGATCTTAACACCACCAACAACCACAACAACAACAACAGCCACAACAACATCTGTGATAAGAAGGATAGTGTTCAGAGAGAACATTCGAATTATGTGATAGTCTTAAACGACGAAACAAACGCTTTGATATTGATCACATTATGTGTTGTAGTTGCGGTTGCTGCTGTCTTGTGTTTCATAATCATGAAATTTTGTTACTTCAGCGGCCAGTGCTCCATCAGAGGAAAGTTTAACGGGAGGAAATAAAATTTTGTCTCTGTTTTCAATTTTTTATTATGTGAGTGCAGTGTAGGGTTTGTTGTTCTCGTTGTTTTTATTGTTTGTTGAATTGATCGTCTTACTTATTTTTCCTATGTTTTCCCTTTTAAATATTCATCTGGCCATTCTAATTATTCTCTTTTGCGGGGTTAATCTGATTTATCAACGCTGACGAAACTCGTAATTGAGATGAGAATTTTGAATTTTATTTTCCAATGCACAATTTTACATTACCGAATGATTTCATCACGTTATCTTTGCATGTACAACAAAAAATTGATTATCAAGTCTTTTAATAGAAGACAAAAAAGTTGAAATTCAAAAGTTACCACAACTGAAAATTTTCTCTTATCTACTTTCAATTAACGATAACAAATCAATTATTGAATGGCGGATGGTGAATGAATGAATAGATTAATGCATGAATGAATGAACGAATTGATGAACGAACGAACGAATGAATGAATGAATGAATGAATGAATGAATGGATAAATGAATGATTGAATGAATGGATGAATAAATGAATAATGAACATGGATATTCACGAAAGAAAGCACATCATGCAACAAGCAAATAAAACTAACAAACAACAAATAAAACACTTTAATTAATTTAAAATTAAGTAATTTAAAAAAACCATTTTAATTGGTTTAAATTTAAATAAATTAATTTAATTTAAATGTAGTCAAACATGATCTAAAACATTTAAAAAAATCAGGCACCTATAGCTAATGTCATCTCCCATTTTAGCGTTCATTAAAAAATTATTTTGCTTTTTGGTGCTTTTAAGACACAAAAACATTTTTCAAGATTTAGAGAAAAAAATTAAATATGCTGGCTCATGAAATGAAAAAATAATATTGCGCAAATTTGCATTTTTAATAAATAATTATAATATTAATATCTCATTTAAATTAGTTTTTAAATAATTAAGAGCAATTTTTATCGAATAATAAAATAAAGTTTAAATAAAGAATTCATGTAAATCACGTCAAAATAATATTTAGCGCGAATACAATTTATATTGGTCAATTTTCGTTATTAATGCTCAATACTGTTTCGTTTGATTAGGGGTCTTCAGGGACGTGTGCGTGTGTCTTGTTCACTTGCCTGTTGTATTATGGTGCAGACTAAAAACCAAAAAACATATCTATGTTGGTGTATTATAATGAATATTAACGTTTATATCTAGCAAAAATTGAATCGTATAGGGTACGTAGGTTTGGTACCTTCGACCAACACATTCTAGAGATGAATGAACTATGTCACCAGTTGATTAACGTAAATTAAACTTTTTCATTCAAGCTCTGATACAATTGAATGAACTATTTATTAGACAGTTGATAAATTTTCAACAGCACTGTTGTGCTATTTTACGATGAAAATATATTTTAGGGTGTGGTTAACGTTTCATTTAATTGCTACGCCTGTCTTGCAAAATACAAAATAATTTCTGACTTGCATGTAAAATGATAAAAATTAATTGGTTATAAAAAAACGAAATGTAATTTTAAATGAATTAAAAAAAATACTGAAAGACACGACTTGATTATATTGCATTAATATCTAACAGCCATTGATATCATAGAGATGTAGATTTCAGGTTAGCAATGGTTACAATTAATTAATTAATTAATTAATGTGAAAGTTCTTAGTATTTTAAGTACTCGTGCACTTAGTAATTTAACTGAAATGACGACAGAAACAATTCAGTGCGGGCCTGTCGTTCTTCACGCAGTCAGTGCTTTGTACTCCATCCATGTCATGCTCACAACAAACAAAAAATTGCCAAAAATATCGAAAAGAAGTTAAACAAAAGTGATTTTAATCAATATTGTTCATTAATAATTTAATTTGACGACTAATTTTTTAATTTAAAAGGCATGGATTAGTTGTGGAACAATTTTGTGATAGAAAATAATTCTCAAACAAACAATCTTTATCAATTGATGGTAACTATCTATAACGAAGTAACTGATTAAGGTGAGTTAAAGAACTCTTTCCAGGTAGGACTCCATATAATCCTTCTCGTCGATGACTTCCGAAATGTCGTCGTCAATGAACTGCTTGAGGTCCTCATGGCTGTAGGAGTCCTTCTCAGGTGCAAATCCACCATTGGAGACGTCCTTCAACAGCGGCCTCCTTCGCGTTTGCTCCTCCAAGAAGAACTTCATCGCGTTCTGACCTTGCTGCATGTTTGTTTGTTCGTTTGTTTGTTCGTTCGTTCGTTGTTCGTTCGTTTGTTTGTTGGTTTGTAGTCATTTCGTCAATGTTATGTTCCGATTTAATCGATTTAAACTTGTTTATGCAAACTGTTTTAAAAGACGATATTGGTAATAAATTTATTAATAAAATTGATGATAAAATTTAGAGGTGAGGCCATTAAATAAGAACGGACTTCATCGAGAAACATCCTGTCCTGATCCTTCAGTGACTTTCTCGTTGTCGTACTGTTAATGAATTTCGTGTTTATCATGATCGTTCTGTCCACATTCCTCTCCTTTCAATTAAGTTTTGTTTCAATTTTTCGTAAATTAATTTTATAAAAAAACTTGTTTTTTTGTTATATAATGAAATTTTAAAAAAATTTCATTATACAAAACAATTCAACCAAAACAATTTAACGACCCAACGAAGGAATCAATGACATTTAATTATTATGATGGAACCTTCATGTTGTAAATCAAATAATGAACAACGATTCTTCAGTATGTACGAATAAAAATATAAAAATGCAATGAAGGTTGAAAAGAAATAAATGAAGAATAAAAGTTCTGGTGAGATGTTGTTTTTCTTCACGGTATAACGTTACGTTCGTTGATTTGATACCTGCCACATATTATTGAACATATCCTTCTAATATATTTGTATGAAACATTAAAAATGAAAATGCAATGTAAGATTGAGTGAGAATTGATAATTTGATAGGTAAAAATAACTTACATTTTCAAAAATGTTGTTCAGTTGATAAACGCGGAGAAGATTCTCGACTGCTTGTCGTTGGTAGATTTTGGAAGGAGCATTCTGGTTGTCCCTCATGTGATAATTCACAAACTCAAAGTGCTTTCGACGTCTTTCCAAATTTAGCGGATCTTTCAGGGATATCTTCTGCATGATCAAATTAATTATTCATGAAAACTAATTGAAACTTTCATGTCACTTCAACCAGATTCAACAGCATGTGCTAAACTAAAAAATTATTTACTTGACAGAACAGTACAGTTTTTAAAACATCCTAAAGTGAAATATTGTTAGATCATTTAGTCACTATAAAATTCCCCCAACCAACACAACATGCACTAGCCCAACAAACACAACAATAAAGTTAAAACATGGATCAAAGATATCACCTGTTCGTTGTTGTTGTTGTTGAAGACGTTGACGATTTGGTCCAGTGCCTCCTTCTTCGTTCCAAACAACAGCTTCACGTCATCATCTGTCAGGCGGGCCTCCTTAGATATGAATTCAATGCATTCCAATGCAATTCAACGCAATGCGATGTAATGAAATTTGTTTTGATTTTTTTGTATCTATTTAAGCGTATAACTTACAATGTTGCTAACAAGTAACAACTTTTTCCTTTTTAAATATCGAACATTTTTGGTTTACACACAAACATAAATGTCTTATTCGTTAATGTTTATTTGCACGCACACACAATTAACCAATATTTTACTTTCAAAATAATCAAAACAAGCACAACACGAACACAAAAAAACACGCAACACCCCATACACATCTCACAACACACCCACACACACCCACACACACACACACAACACACACACACAAACAGCACAATCACAAGAGCACACCCCCAACTCTTACTTTCAGAATCTGCACGGCGTCTTCTTGTTTGCTGACTCTTACTTTAGAATTCATTTTTGTTTTGATGAACTGAAAAAATGAGCAACATATATTTTTCAGTGTAATTGATATCAAATGCCGCATTAAAAAAGTATTGCTGTTGAAACAACAAACAACATCCTGGCTATGCATGTACGGATATCTTGCTGAACGTTGTAGGTAGGTGAGACTACGATACAAATTCAATATGTTGTTGCATGTTGCAAACACGAGTTAGTGTGGGTTGGGTGGTTTCAATAATTTTAAGAGATGAGATGTTATTATGGCTATTTAATAATTTATACCTAACCTCTGTAAAAGTATCTGCCTGACTCAAGAAGTCTTTGTATTGTTTGCTGAGTTTGGAGCGTTCGTTTGAAATTTTAAGCAGATTTCTGTGCGAATTTGTTGAGTGGCAAGTTTAAAATTTGAAGAATTTAAATCAGACTGAAGTTATACATATTTTTATTAGGATTATTATTCAAGTACAAGAATCACAATGAAGATTAACATAGCATGTTCATTTAAACTTCATTGTGTAGCATATTGCATTTTATCAAAACTTATTTTAATTTGTCAAAAGTTGATCAAAGTAGTTTACATATTTGTTTGAACATGTGAACAACAGCAGTAAGTTGAAACTGTGTAATACATATGTGATAATTGTATATACACCTGTGTATAAGTGTGCGTGTATGTGTGTGTGTGTGCTTTTAAATGTGTGCATGTGTGTGTTTCTGCATGTATAAGTAAATGTACGAGAGAGATTCGTGATTGAAAATATTATCATTAGCATTTCATAAGGATTGCGCTAAACATGTAAGCATGTCAATTAATTTGAGAAGGCCTGCTTGAAAAATGAGCAGAAAGATAGAAACTTTGGATGAATTACTTAAAAAGTTGGGTGTCGTAAGGTTTTTTGTTCATGGCAACTTCATTAACGTTCTTCACTAACTTTGCAGACAGCATTTGTTCGATGGTTCTGTCGTCAATCTGGGGTTTCGATGTTTATAAGTCATCGTATTCATTTTCAATATTACTAATAAAATCGTGCTGATGATTTCAAATATTTCAATAAATGTTTAACTTTTCTTAGTGCGATCGTCTTTGAGGCATTGATGGATAATTTGGTTTAGTTTGGAAAAGAATCATAGCAGATTGATCATCAAAAATGTGTAACTGACCGTTATGAAGCCGATTGTTTTGTTGTTGAAGTTGTTAAACCTCTCCCGATTGATTTGTTGCTGGTCAGCCAGTTGCGTCATGCGCTTCATGAAAGAATCATCTTCTTGCAGCGACAGCCACCAACCTGTTGTTTTTGCAGACATGTGTGTGAGTTGTTGTTTCTCTAATGTCTCATTGTGTGAGAGTTGCTGTAGTTAATGTCTCATTCATATATTTGGTATTGCCATTGTTACAGTTTAGCACGAACACGCTTAACATTGCTCAAAAAAACCAACAGAATAACTGTATCGTAACTGACACAAACAATGATATCATCGTCATAATCACCACCAAAAACAACATTTACAACTTCATTGCAATCTTAACTCAGGTTCAGCGTAACATTCCCAACGTTACTGCTGTCCTAGTGAACAGTTGTGCAAAGACCCGGTTCGAACGCAAAGAAAATCAAAGTTGTCTAGAGCTCAAGTGATGTTGCATCAATTCAAACATGCGTTCCTTGTGCGTGTGTGTGTGTGGTATTCAAGTTTGAGTGGAACGGTGAATGTATGAATGAATGAATGAATAAATAAATGGATGGATAAATAAATAAACAGACAAACGGATGAATGAGTGAATAGATGAACAAGCGAACTAACGAATGGATGAGTAAATGAATAATCGTGTGAACGAAGAAACCAGTATGTTAACTAGTGAACTAACAAATGAATGAATGAATGAATAAATAGATGAATGAATGAACAAATGGATGAATAGATGAATGAATGCATAGATGAATGAATAGATGAATGAATGCATAGATGAATGAATAGATGAATGAATGAACGACAGAACAAACGAAACCGACCATCGAAGACGTGCAATGGATAGTTAGCCAGCAGACCTCCCCCGGTCATCACGTCATCCACCTTCAGCGCTTTGTTCCTCTCCTTCACCATGTCGTTCGTCACTTCATCATTAAGTCATTCAGTTTGCATGAATTTATAATACTTTTCGCAATTTCTATGCAAGTTTTTTCAATTAGATATCAAGCTTCATTTTTGAGAATTCTAAATGAAATACCACTATGCTGGCTGGTACACAGCTTGTCACTCCGACAAATATCTCAGCGTTACAATCAAAATATGGATTTGTTTGTTTGATAGTTTAGCCCCTAAGTGATGCCAATTCCTTCAGGCGCTAATATATTATTGATGATGCGATATAATATTTATACGCTGCATATCATTAAGTCATGTTATTATAATAAATGTTAATACCACCACTGCTATACTATACTGCTGCATGATTTAACATGTGATTGTACACACCTGGATTGGCAAGGGACATGCGGACAGACTGAATGACTGGCAGGTCAGGTGTTGTCTTAACGTGGTGTAACTCGAGATCACTACGAGTTAGGTTGGCCACCACTACGCAAAGTTCCTTCTTGAATCGCGAGTACAGCTGGTTTTGAATTTGAATTTATTTTTATAAAATAAACCAAACAGGTTTTTGCTTCAAACGAAGTCAAAGTTATTACAATTTTTTGAAGTTTCAATAAAAATTTTACCCAACAACTAAGATGTAATTATTTTTAAATGTTTTTTAATATTCAAATGTTTCCTTGACATCATACGGACCTGCGCAAACGTGAGGTCTTTGTTGCCAGAACTTTCCTTAATTTTCTTGGAGAGCAACTTCAGGACGGAGTTGTTGGTCGAGAGGGGAATGCAACAAGAACAACATTTGCTGTCTGAGGAGGCAACACGTGTGTGTGTGTGTGCGTGTGTGTGCGCGCGCATACGCGTGTGCGTGAGTGTGTATTGAAATGGAAAAGCACTATTATAATTGTATGTGCTTAAGTACGTATGTTCAAATGTCTGTGCTTTTTGATATGTGCTAAAAATGAAACGAATTTTAAAGCTGAGATGAGCTTAGTCACTTTAAGACTCACCTTAATGAGACCAGAACAGATAAAAATTGACTAAAATAAATAAATAAAAATAAAGATAGGTCACTATTTTATGATCAGTTTTTGCTACCACTAAAATTTACTGAAAATATTGTATTCATGTTTGGAAACGTATTAACGAATTAACGTAAAAATAAATAAAAACTGCCACCTACTCAGTTGTTGCAAGTCCTGTTGAAACATTTTTTTGAGTTGTTGAGAGTTGTAGCCGACAGCCAGGAAGGCGGCGACAACAGCTCCTGTGCCGCTGCCTGCCAATCTCTCTATCTGCTTCCACACACCTGATTCCTCCAAGACCTGGCGCGTGTGTGTGGTTCCATCAATAGTTTAGTCGGTAACATTGAGAATTAATTTTTTCAATTTTTATCAAAAAGTATGAAATCAATTTCTATAATATTAATTCTGAAATGGTTGAGATTAGATTTTACGATTGAAGTAACTATAAAGTTTATTTCTGTATTTCACGCAAGTTATTTGTTGCGAATTTTAAAACAAAGCGGTCCAAATTTTTGCTTGTAAAATGTTACAAAAACTTATGAAATTTAAATTAAAGAAAATCTTAGCACTTACGGAATAAAATAAGGATGAATACAAGTTTTCAAACCGGGTACAATTAGCAATTTATTGTTTTGACGATTTATTTCTTTTTCTTCAAGATTAAATTGTCTGTTTTTTTACTTGCAGCCAGTCACAGAAATCTCACAAAAATCAAAATGAAATGTTCACTTTAAATTTTCGTCATCGGATTTTCCGCGCTGTTTTTGTTATTTCGTGTTCCATCAAACAATTGTCTGATAATTTCCTCATATGGTGATAATTATAATTATATATTTATATTATATTATAAATAATTAATTACGATTGGATTTCAAATGATCATCATCATCACTATCATCATCGTCATCTTTGACGTCACGATCATCATGATCTAACTACAATCATCTGACCTTCGTCATATTATTCTGGATCGATGTTAAAGACAGACGGCATCTACTTGTGTTAAAACATTTAAACAAATATTTCATTCATATATTTGCCAGATGCTTATAAATATTATCCAACAATATGTGCCTATTTATTTATTTATTTAATATTATTTATTTGTTTATTTATTTATTTTACTTTTTATACTTATTCCACTCTTCTATTTCTCTCTCTCTTTTTCTTCTCTCTCTCTCCCTCTTTCTATCTTTTGCTCATTTCTTTCCTAATATTTTATCATTTTATTACAGAAAATAAAATAACGCAACATGAATGATTACAAAAATTTGTTGTTGGTGATAGGTAATACAAAAAAATCATTTCATGTTGAAAAATATCGGCAAATGTTTTCTTAAGGTTGAAATAGTTTTGAAATAAATATGAAATATGTTAGCCTTAATAGAACCAACAACTACGTTACAGGCTTTTAGCATCCTCCCAAATGTTCATTTATTGATTTTCTTTTTATGTTAAGCTGCTGCTTATGTTTTTTCATCATTTGGAATTTCTAATTGGTGGATAAAATTAATTTGATTAAAAATTTAAAAATTATCTACATCACTTTAGATATTGTTTCAAATTGTATCTTTCTATTTCGATACGAGTTTTTTTTTGAAAGTTGTATCATTATAAAATCTCGGATCGATATGAAATTTCGGTTGCTAGTTGATAACGAGAATAGAGGCGCAGATGATTAAAAACACATGTGAATGATATTTGATGATCTCAAATTGAAATACCACACAGTTCTATTGAAACAGTTTCTTGCTAGTTTTTTAAACATTTATATTCAAAAATGCAAATGAAGCTGTCCGTTGTTTAGCTGCAAAATTTGCAGCACGCCCATTAAAAAATCATTAGTCATCGATTGAGATATAATATGCAGTCGAATTAATTAATTAATTTTACATCTGTTAGTTTTATTGCAAAATTAAATAAATATTCTTATATTTGAAAAAAAATAATAAAGAAATTTCAGAAGTCTTAGAAGTTTTAACATCGCCTTATTTATTTACTACGAAGTCACGTGGTTATGTTCACGTGATCAACAAAAGAAATTTATAGGATATCACAGATGCATAAATTTTTCAGTGACAGCTGATCTGAATTTGCACTCCTAGTTCAAAAAACAGACATCTCCATAGCACACGTCGTTGAAACTGTCGAAGGCATTCAATGATTTCAAACAGCTGTCATCGTCATTATCATTCTCAGCATCATAAACATCATCAACATCATCGTCATTATCATCCTCATCATCATCAACGTTAAATATGGGTGGGAATGTGAATACTAGTTAATTAGAAGCAGATGGACCAGTTCAATTAATATCGACATGAACGTGCCCAGCAATGTTTGCCTGCTGTTTATATTAATACTCATTCCTACTCTTAGCTACATGTATTGTTTGTTTGTTTGATCGTTTGAAGCGGCTTCAAACAGACAGCTACTTCTTTCTAATATAAACACGTTTCTGTCTATTCAACATTGAGAATCGTGATTAATTCATTCTTTTACATCACGCATATCCCCACCATGAATGTTTTATATTCTAGAATTGTTGTTATATATCTTTCTCTAAAATACAAATTAAGAATAACTTCAAAAATGTTAACATTAACCCAACCATTTCATCTAAGTTGCCGTTATATGTAAAGCCATTGCTACAAAAATAAAACTAAACCAACATATTACATAGGAGTTACTAATTAAATTAAAATTAAGAATCATCGTGGAAAAGCTTATTTTCAGTTGTTTTAATAAGTAGTGTCAATTTCAAATTGACTCAGACTCGGGCATACAAACTGCAGTGGATGTCTTACTAGAAGGGTGGAATAAGTAAGAGAGAGAGAGAGAGAGAGAGAGAGATCATACATATATTCATCTTCTTTTTAAAAATACTATCCAAGCCCCTAATACATGAAACTTCTGGCTAACTGCTGACCAATTATTGATTCAATATCATCTTTTCAAAAAAAAGTAAATGTAATATTAACGTGTGACATGAAAATAATTATTCATTTTAGAGCTGTTGCAAATATAATTTTCTTGGAGAGCTGATTTTTCAGCATGATAATAAAAATATCTTCATCATAGCGGGATTTTTTTTACGTTGTGTGTGTTAATGAATGTTGTTGAAGCAAGCTAATGCCGCCTGTATTAAAATAGATTCTCATCAATACACACACACACACACACGCGCGCACAGGCACAATGTTGTTACTATGAAACAAAGTGTTGTTGTAACTGCACTGTGTTGTGGGAGTTAGCTGTTTTGTTGCATGATTCTACATGTTGTCTATGCTAGAGCAGTCAAGACGATTGAAATGAAATGGCTCGAGTTTTGTTTTGTTGATTTTTCATCTTTGTAACATTGCCTTGTTTATTAATAAGTTGGATTAATATTTTCAAATTTTAGAAATAAAGTACATATTGCTATTATCTTATTTGCATCTTTTAAAATTAAATACGTACATGCAACATCATGCAGTTCAAACATTTTATATTTCATCATTCCTTTGAACTAGCAGAACGATACTGAATGAGATGTGTATTATGTACTGTATTAGTTAGATTGGATGTTGGATGTGTTAAGAGATATTAATGTTTAGAAGATGCATCGTCATTCATACGAACATGATTCTGATAAGCGTTGCAAAGAGAAGAATTGAAAGAAATTTGAATGTAAAATAATCCAACCTTAACAGCGCCGCAGTAAGCGAGGACCTTGTTGTCCCCACCTTCGAAGACAACGTTCTCGAAGGGGTACTGGTACTGCTCCAAGATGGATGTTGTTATCATGTGGGCCGTCTCTTCTGATGACATCTCGTGTTGTTTTTGCCGTTCACGTGTTTGCTTATGTTGATGTTGATGTTTTGGTTGATGTTGTGCTGTTATTTGATGTTTGTCTGTTTGTTGCGCTGTTGTTTATTGCCACTCCTTATTGTTATCGTTGAATATTTGGTTAAAAAAATGTTAAGAATTTATCAATAGTTTCTCTTATTTTGTTAGAAAATATTTATTTAAATCGCCTAGTTATATTGAACTTGTTCAATTTAAAAATTTGAATAACTACTAGTGACGGAGGTAAGCTGCAGCGATTAGTAGTGGCTGTGGATTGATGGCGTCCCCTGTGAAAGTTCGTATTCCACGCTCGCTTCTCTACTCCAAATTTTAAAATATTATGCAACCGAGCAACCAGGTAAGGAAATACGATAACGTGGCGAATCAGTTACTCGTTCGTTTGCCACAAAGTTGAGTTATCCAAATTTTCTGTATGGTCCTGTGAGAATGTTATTAAAGTTGATGATATGCAATAAGCACAGTCGGTTATCATGAAGGAATAACGTGATGTATGAATTTTAGTGTAAGGTGGTGACCTTGAATGAAGTTAACATGTTGGATTTGCAGTTGATGTTTTTTGCTAAAATGAGGTGAGGCGAATCTAAAAAAATGTTGAAATAAAAATAAACAACAAACCAAGAGAGGTAATTGATGAACACGTTGCGAACATGCGGAAATGTTAGAGTTCAAATTTTTATCCAATTTTGAATTTTTTTTAAAGAACAACAAATTTCATCCATATGAAGGTAGATTCTAAAACACTTATGCGAAATGAAAACAAAACTTTTTTTTTCAAAAGTTAAAACTCATGTTTCAAGTATGAGAGTGTGTGTATGAATGAATGTGTGTGTGTGTGAATGAATGCGTGTGTGTGTGTGTGTGTGTGTGTGTGTGTATGTACATCAGCATGCAACAACAACACAACTGTAGCAGCATAAAAGCAACAACAAATATTTGCATGTACCAACGATGCATCATTCACTTCCCATTATATAAATATATATAAATATATATTATATATATGTATATATATATATAACGTATAATTTATTATAAATATTTTTTAAATACATATTTTATATTACTATATATGAATATGTGTTATACAAATATGCATGTCTAATACAACTTAAAATCTTTTTGTATTATACATGTTTATATTATAACGAACTAATGTTATACAGAAAATACAATGATGAACGATGCATGTATAAAAGTGAATGTGAGTGAATAGTAAAGAAATTACAGTTCTGTATGAAACGTGTAACATACAATCTCGCACCCATGTGCTCTCTACATGTTCTATCATATTATACATCAATATCAAAATAGACATATAATAATAATAATTATAATAATAATAACAATAATAAAAATAATAATATTAATATACATGTATTAAAGTGTGTTTTGTATCGAGCTGTAGAGACACACATGTTGGCACGTGCGAATTTCCTAAGCATGTGCTAAAAATAAACCGCCAGGTTTATTGGGTGGGTGTTGAACAATTTTTGTTTGTGTGTGTGTTTCGATTAAACGAGTCGCAAACATCGTGCAGTCCGTGCGTTGGTTGGCTAGGAGTTTGTGAATATGATTGATTTCCAGTTGGTGATTGTTTATTGATGCACATGCATCGGCTGAATCATTTCATTCATCGTACGCCTCGTACAATCACATCACACGTACTCTAGCAGGCAGTTAGTTTATGATGACGAATTGAAATTTCACCCACAGGGAGCATTGCTGTGTTCATTCATGTTGCTACACTACCACTGCAATCTATTAATGAATTAAATACCTAAAAAGCTGCGTTCTATTAAAGAACAAATTTAATTTTTTTCAAATAAAGTATAGATTAATTTTTTTAATTTTGGTTGGTGAAAAAAGATTATATTAAAAAATTACATGTTGCTTCTGGAATTTGGATTTTACTATTCAAATTCACGCAAAACATGCATGAATAAATATACATCAATACATCGGTGGGGATCCCCTATGCAGTTGAACAGGGTCACTGTTATATAGTGACAGGACACTTTACCGCTACACTACATCATCTCGCCTCTAAGGAAAGTTTTTTATTTATCACCCATGAACTATTTCTATTGAATGATAGCGATTAATTGTCTCCTAGGAATAGTTGAAACGGATAGAGCATGTATGATGGATGGATGGCATTAAACTCTCTGTCTGGCTTTGTATTTTAACGTTGTTGATGATGCAATTGTAGTCAATTTCATCTTCATCATTACATATATTTCGTTGCATATAATCATTTTCCTTTCGTGCTCAAGCGACTTTGGTCTAGAGGAGTAACTGTAATGAATATGGTACGCAGTATTATTTTTAATTTTTATACCCACACATACACACATGCACGCGTTAGACAGGCTCTCTCTCTCTTTCTCTCTCTCACTCACACACACGCACACACACGCACACACACACACACATACATGATTATAAAGAAGATAACACTAAAAATAATTGTCTTATATAATAATGACTATAGTATTTGCCAACATTAACAACTGCAATCATAACATGATAATCCCATTATCGCTAAGGATTCTTAGATGATTCTTGAGCAAACTTCAGAAAGGCTTTTTTAGACTTGCAGATTATTGGTGTCTAAACCGCCTTTTAGAAACTAATATAAACATTTAAAAAATGAACTAAAAACCAAATCTATAAAGGGGTTGTGGATACACGACCCACTAAACAACTCACGCGTGCTATTATAATGTTTCAATGATATCGTGATATTAATGCAGATCTTAATGTTTAATTGCTTAATCTAATTAGCAACTTCATTATCATAATATATTCAACGTGATTAAATAAATCACAAAAACGCCATAGCTAATAGTTCTGATTAACAGGCCAGAATATTAACGTTAAAAAATGTTAATAAAATGATAACATTTACTCATCCAAAAATGCTGCAACAACTGTAATAATGGTATGGTGGTGGAATCGTTATCATTATGATGATGATCGTGAAATCCTTGTGACGGTGAAGATGATGATGGTAGAATACTTATGATGACGATGACGACGATGATGATGACGATGATGATGACGATGATGATGACGATGATGATGACGATGATGACGAAAGATTGATTGGTGTAATACAGGTGCAATAAAGTAACATTAAAAGGTACAAATATACAACTGCGTGTGCGTGTTCGAGTTAATTTAATCGGCTCGCATGGAAAATGAAAAAAACTTTGGAAAGAACTTTAGTGCTATGGAAAGTTAAAAATTGAAATGAAAAAATATATGCAGGCATTCAACGTTAATCTCAATAACTATTTGATGTTTGATTGATGACGATAATGAAGATGATGTCGATATAATGATGATAATCTCGTTGGTGATGGTGATGATTGTTATTATAATGTGATAATGATTATGATTACGATGATGATTATTATTATTATCATGGTTATCATTGTTATTATTATCATAAGGATGGCAGTGATTTATGACTTCAACCTTGGAATGGTTTAATGCTGCAGTTTATGCTCGTTTCATATCTGCAAAAAACCAATGCTGATGATGTGATGAGGAAGATGGGATGACGACGACGATGATGATGATGACGATGATGTGATGATGATGACGATGATGATAATGGTGTTTATGATAATTTTACAATGTTGGTGAAGAAGTTGTTGTTGTTGTTGATGATGATGGTGATGATAATAATACTGATGATTAAATATTTGAAATTTTTAATAACGAAATAAAATAAATTGTTAAAATATATAAATTGAATTATAAATGATGCTTTATAATAATGATATTAACAAATTTTTTCCAAATTTGATTGCAATTTTAAAATCAATTTTTTCAGAAATGTTAAATCAAAAATATATTTAATAAAAACAATTAATATGGGCTTGCATATATTCTCAAACAAACGAAAAGAGGTATATATCATGTAACATAATTGCAGATATAATTACTAAATTACACAAACAATTAATTATTATGAAAGAAAAATTATGAATTATTAAAAATTTATAGCAAGATAAGTAGTTAAATTCCATGTTACTCTTACGGTAGGCTGATCCTGTGTTGAAATCTCTCAGGTAACAAAAAGTTTTATTTAAGGTTCGGCAGGTAGCAGTGAGATTCATGAAATGTGCCTGGTGGAGGAAAATTTTAATTTGGTTTTATCTGGTTTGGTCATATTGGTTGAAATATTTCCATCGCATCACATTACATTAAATTAACTTACAATATATTACATTACGTTACGTTACCTTAAAATCAACTACACTAGATTACATTACAACAAATAACATCGCATTAATTTATTTTACATTGCAATATATTGCATTACTTTATATTACAGCAAAAAAATCACATTACCATACTATTAGTTTACATTACTTTACTATTACTTTACTATATTACAATTTGTTACATTACATTACTATATTTACATGACAATAATTTACTTTACATTGCATTAGATAGCATTACTTTAAAAAATACGTTTAATGCTGCTGATTTCTGAGTGGCCCTTCCAAAATTAGTAGACTTAAAAAATTCTAATATGCTACATAACGGAATAAAACAGGAGGGGGCAAACTACGGCCCTTTTATGCGGCCCGCAATGCCTTGTTCGCGCCAAAAAATGTCTTCAGCCATTATGACCATAAAAAGGGAGTCTCAAATCTTAAAAAATTCTCTCCCTGGTCAAAAAAAGTTTGCTATTTTAAGTACATATGTGGCTCTTCAAAGGTAAAATAGTTCTCAAAGCGGCCCTCACAGCAAAAAGTTTGCCCACCTCTGGAATAAAATATGCAATTGTTGAACTCCACGCTCGTGAATTTTCCAAATATTTTATACGTAATTACATTTTTCCCCGATATTCAAAATATTTTTGATTCCTTTCCATTGTTTCATTAAGTTTTCAGTTTTTGAAATATGTACATTCACAGTTTGCCACTGATAAGTATTTATTATCTTCATAAAGGGAGCTGTCCATGATTGATGGCCTAGGATCAAAAAATTGCAAAAGGGCATTGCATCCAATAAATGGACAGCCAAACATTTAGTAACCAACTTATTCAAACAAGATTTTTGTTAATTAAAAAAAATGCAATTTAAACTCTGATAACAACAACATAATTCAAACATTTTTAAAGAATTATTTTAATTTTTTAATCGACTTTTCACGTGTTTTTCAAAAATAAAGTAGCATCAACAAAATAGGAAATGTATTTATTAGGAGAAAAGAAAGATAAAAATAGTGTAAAAAACGAATGACAAAACAGGCAGACCTAAAATTAAAAATAAAAAACCTCCTAACCCAGCAAACGTGCAATAAATTCTCATCCTTACTGTCAACATCTTTTATATATAAATTCCACATTTTGTCTATTTCCAACTCCGTGTTTAGTTTTCTTACAGACAATTTTTTCAAGGCTCTATTCAATAAGATTTTTTTTTTAAATTCTGTTTTTGTCTATTAACTGAGCTTTAATGAGAAAATGTATGAAAATGTTAAATTTAACGTTGCTACGGTAGAAAAGCATTCAGAAGACTGTATGATGTGAATTCAGATCAGAGTTTCAGGAAGAGAGTTTAAATGATTGACACCTGAGGAATGGAGGCTGACATCATGGAAGACATCAACAGACAGATGAACAAATCATCAGTCGCTGTTTTTGTTTCTGCTTCATTCCACTTCATCATCATCATCATCATCACCACCACCATCATTCTCATCTTCCTCCTCTTCAATGTCATCATC